CTCTCTCTCTCTCTCTCTCTCTCTCTCTCTCTCTCTCTCTCTCTCTCGACAACTGATTTCCGCATCTCCGGCTACTGCGCCTCTGCACCTTCGCCTTTGTTTGTCCTGAAAGAAGCCATTCCGGCCAGGGACCCAGACGCGGCTGCCCTAGGCAGCTCCAGACGCCCTAAGCCTCCTACCCTGCCGCGACCCAGTCTCCAGCCTCGCTTTTTATGTTTCCTTTAGGCAGAAATCGGCTTCCTTGGCTCACTCTCTGCAGCCGGCAGAGCCTGGAGAGCGAAGGATGGAGAAACAGCCCAGTTCACACCAGCTGTAAAGCCAAATTAATTTTCCTTCTTTAACATAACCCTCCTGGCAGGCCGCTTGTCTCAGCTGCGGTATGGAAGCTTCCCGTCTCCCGCCTCCTGTTTCTCAGATCCCCTTGCCCTTTCGTTAGAGAGGGGTAGGGCCGGCATTGGCAGGTTTCTTTCACTCGGGGCCAGCCTTTGTCGCCAGCTCCACCCCAAGCCGCAGTGTCTCGGCGGCAGTGTGGCGTGTGCAGCGGGCGAGAAAGTCGCGCGCGCGAGGCCGGCGACAGAGCTGCAGGCCGGCTGCAGCCGGGATCCTCACGACTGAATAAGAAAATCAGGGCTTCCACGAATGGCGGACTTCACGACAGGCTCTTGCAGGGACACCGCAGTGAGAGAGGAACAAGAAGATGCCCCTTGAAGCCAAGTATAATCCTGGGGGTTCTTTTGGACATGAATCATTCATTCCCCTCCTGAAACGTTTGTGTCCTGCATTTTGGTGGCTTTCTTTTGAGAGCTGTCACATACCCTGACTTCAAACCTCCAGACTCAGCAAGCCTCAGACCTATGAGCCCAATGCCAGGTGTGTGTATGTGGTGGGGGGGAGGGCATCTACAAGGAATCCTCAGGTTCAACCATTTGAGTCAGCCAAGCTTCCTGCCAAGTCTGGGTCTCCCACCTATTCCTCGCTTCCACACTCCAGGCAATAGCCTTGGAAGACCACTAACTCCGCCCGTGAGAGTTTTGAAGTGGTTAGCTGAGAGGTGCTCCAAGAACTACAACTGGGACTTTGCTTCTACCCATGAGTCATTGGCTGAGGTCAGAGCAACTTCGGGTGAAGACCCTTGCTCTGAGGAGACACACTTCCTCTCTGAACCATGGAGATTCTCTTTCCTCCTCCGCCACTCCCTCGGTTGGACGGAAAGGGTCTTGCTCAGTTTAAGCAGCCCTCTTAGGACCTGGGTACCCTTCTGGTGTCAGGGCCACCAGAGCGGGTAGATGGCTCTGAAGGTCTACGGAAAAGGCCTGACTGTGAACACTAACTTGCCTTTGTTTGAAGCCATGTTTTTAGCAACCGGGCTCTTAATGACCAGAGGAGAAGCAACATCGAATAAAACGCAGGAGAGGTTTGTTTTCTAGAGTGATATATATATATATTTTTTTGTTCTTTTTCTTTTTCTTCCAAAACAAACAGTTAGAGCTCTAGCCCCTTGCCCTCCCCACTCCCACCCTCAGCCCTCCCTCATGAGCAACAACTGAAGATCACTGCCAAAGGAATCACAAAACACAAGCACAATTTCACCACAGCCACTGACGAAGCAAAAAATAAAATAAAATTCAAAGTTCTACTGGAATGACCTCTTTGCAGGGTTAGGAGAAGCGGGAGAGAGTCCGGGGGTGGAGGGGATTGAGTGCAGGGAAGGACAGAAGCAGAGGGTGAGTCTCTGCCCGGTGGGAAGGCATGATTTTGCCTCTTTACTTTGCACGCGCGGGACTGTGTGCCAGAAGTGTGTCTGCACATGGCCCGTATCAGGACCCAGTAGTGTATTCTGCAGGAGGTGAAGTCCCCACTCTGAGCTTTTGGGGTTTCTTCCTGTGGCCCTCTGGCTGCATGCCAAGGGGCTCTCTTCTTTGTGGGCCAGGAAACTAGTGATGTGAGAGGAGACCCATCAGCCCTGCTTGCTGAGACCATTGCTTCTCCTCCTACCCTGACTGCCCACTCTGGAAGGTAGCTGGGAAATTGACTCACAATAAAGTCTCAATCAGACTCTCCTGACCCGGCCTTCTCTATGATGGGGTTGACCTAGGAGGGGGTGATGGGATTTTTTTTCTACATGGGGAGACTTGCCTAGCTGGCACAAGATAGATTTAGCCACTGAAAGGAGAGTTGACTTTGGAGCTGGGAGGAATGGAGAAGAATGCAAAATCTGTGGTCAGCGAGAAAAACTACTACAGTCTGCCAAGGGGACGTGTGACTGAGGGAACGGCATTGTGGAGGCTCTACACCCACAGTGTGACCTCCTTGGGGGAGGGGGGGAGAGGAAAACGTGCACAATTAAACATTTCCTGCAAAGAGATTTGCGAGGGGACTCCACTAAAGGTGCCTTCAGAAAACCACTCCCTGCCCTTTTTCTCGCCCTTTCTAGCTTGGGGACTGGGCCGGCCCCGTCTGCCCACAGTCCCCCAAGACCCGGGGTGGAGTTGGCGATTCCATAGGGATAAGTACAAGGACGATGTGGGGACGCTGGGCTGCAGAGCCTTATTCAGGAGCTCACCTCCAGACTCACCCTGTGTGTGTCTGCATCAGGGGGGAAACTGACTGGCTCTGGGACTGCCCAGCTCTGCACATAGGGTGTAACTTTCTTTCTCCGTTATTAGTGTGGACTCCCAACTCTATGTCCTCGGGCATCTGTTGGGGTGTGTACAGTTAAACCGTTCCTGGGTGACTTCCGAATAGGTGCAGGGAACAGGCAGGTAGTTGGAAAGGGGGGAGGGCTGGGATTTTCCAGGAAAAAAAAAATTAGCAGGGATGCTAGGAGCTTGACTAGGGTTCTCTTTCTTTGAGGAAGAAACCTAGGAACCAACTACAGCTAGCTTCTAACTTAACAAAACTTCCTCCTGGCACCCAAGGGGAAGAGAGAGAAACAGGGGTAGGCAAGGGAGGGGGAGGCAGGCTCCAGGGGCAAAAGAGGGACTTTAAAGAGGAGAGATGCCCTTCCCCACTCACTGGGATACATCCCAGACAGCAGTGGCCTGGCAGCCACCACATAAATAATCCGAGTGAGGTAGGGAAGGGTGGGGCTGCTCCTTTACTCTTTGCCCTGCTCCTTGTTCATCTTCTTCATTTTCATCCGCCGGTTCTGAAACCAGATTTTGACTTGTCTCTCACTCAGATTGAGGAGTCTGGCCACTTCGTGCCTGCGGTCCCTGGTGAGGTACATATTGAACAGGAACTCCTTCTCGAGTTCCAGCGTCTGGTATTTGGTGTAGGGACAGCGCTTTTTCCGGGAAGAGCGGGCGTGCAGCCAGTTGGCGGAAGGGTTGGCTGAAAGAGAAGCAGCGGTAGAATCAAAGGAAAGAAGGGGGTGAAGGGCCCCAGACCGAGAGGGTGTGCTCCATCTCTGCTCCCCATCTTGCGTTGGAGAAAGTCACCCAGGCCTTCAAGACCCCAGAAAGCATCCCTAGGTGGGTCAGGAGCTGACACAGACAGCTCCAGGTAAACAGCCCTGTAAGGACAGAGCCAAACCACCCCAGCATCGCCAAAGCTCCCACTGCCCCAGGCTCAAGTAGCTTTCTCTACTTGTGTCCAGACAGACCTGGGCTCAGGTCAGAACAGGCCAGTATAGCTGGAGCCACACTGTCAACTAAAGGTGGCTGACCTTGGCTCTAGGTCTGGGAGGGAAGAGGAAGGATTGGGTAGGGGAAGGAGTCCTGTTCACCCCCAGCCAAGAGATCTCTTGGCCCTTCAGTCCAGTCCCAGTAAGTCCTGCCTGGGTAGCAATCTTTCTCTTTCGGCTCTAGTCCAGAAGGCAGCAGACACCTGAGTCTGTATGGATACCCTCCCCATCACCACACACCACAAATAAGAGTCACGTTTACAGCCGCGAACACCACAGCACACTCCCAACTCACAAGAAACCCAATTACAACCATCTATCAATTGCAGCCGGTGGACAGGGGAGCCCCAGGGCTCCCAGATAACTTATGGTGGCAATAGCCTCTTCTTTCTGCTACTCAGCTCACAGTTTGGTTAACACAAGTTCAGGGAAACTGGGAAGCAAAATTGCTCCAGCCCCAAGGTGGGGAGACCCAGATGAGGCGGGGTAACAGAAAACCCTTTGCAGCTTACTAAGACCTTCTAACCTACCCTATGGGGAGGCAGGGAAAAGTGTAGAAGTGAAAAAAGGAAGTGGAAGAGGGCAAAACAAGGAAAGAACATGTACAGGCTTTTCTTTTTCTCTCCTGCATCTCCCTCTAGACCCTGGGACTTGGGAAAGTTGCCCCCCCAAAGCAGAGCCTATTACAAATAAGATCCACTCTACCTAAGCTTCCCCCTCCCCAAACAAGAAGCCCTGACTACCCATGTATATTTTTAAATTCAGTTCATCCTACACTAAGTAGCGTGTCTTACCAATTTGCAGCGCTATTTCCTTAATGTGATTGCCTGGGATGGGACCCGAAGCCACATTAAATATGAAAGAGGAAAAAAAAACTGTTAATAATTGATCCCAGCCAAATGGCCGCCGTGCAATAATAGGCTTTCCAGGCTGAGTTTGGGGCCATGGGGGTGAGGATTCTGTTTGGGTGTTTCAGGAGGTCAGGGAAGAGCTACGTTCCCGGATATCAGCTCCTAATGACTCAACCTGGCAGGTTGAAGGTATAGGGACTACAGTGATCTCTCCTTACTTTTCAGAGGGCAAGCATGCCCACGGAGGACCCATTGGCCACTCTTTAGGTGGGAAATCTGACAGGGCAAGCAAGAACTACACTACTTGCCCAAAGAAGTAAGCGATGAGGACTTGACCTGTCAATCTGTCCGTAATTGTTTGGAAACTAAGAGCCCCCAACCGTTTTGCTTTTCCCATCCAAAAAAAAAAAAAAAAAAAAAAAAAAAAAACAAGTAAAAGAATCCTCTCCCAGCCATCAGCGCTTTCCACTTGGGGTGTTTTTTTCTTCTTCTTCTTTTTTAGCAAGGGATGCTTTTAGAAATGGGAGGTGGAAAGAAACTCTCCACCAAGGGTAGAGTTCTCCACCCCTACGCAGCCCCCCTCCCACTCCTCCCCCGGGTCCCTTCGAAAGGGAGGTCTTCTCCATTCCGGAGGTGGGTCCTGACTTTAGCAAGTGATTCAGACTCTCTGAGAAGCAAACTGACCGGGCTAGTGCTCCGGAGCCCCGCCAGGAGCACTGGGAACCCAAAGAGAGGAGCTGCCACCCTGGCGAGGATGCCCTAGGAGGGCGGAGAACCCTGGAGGGAAGACTCCCGGGGAGGGGCCGGCGCACCGGGGAGGGGGCTCCGTCACTGCGTCCTGGGCTTCCCCCGCCCCTCCCGGCGCCGGCAGCCGATCCGACGCGGCTACTGCGTGAGATCTGCTAGGAACAATCCTCTGCCAAGCTGTTGCATCGCAAATAAAATCCTAATGAGCCCCCTCCCCCTTCCCCTTGGCCGGCGGGGACCGTCTGCGCGTGGCGCAGGCGGCTTTGCCGGGTGTGCTCCGGCCCGTGCCCGCGCGGGCTCTCGGTCACGCTGGCCACCGGCCCGGGCCCCCTCGTTCCTCAAGCGACTG